AAAAAATTCCCCAGATGGCCCCCGATTCTTGCAAAAATCCAACCCCACCAGCGAGTTCAAGTAACCAAACGGGGCTCTGGCACATTTGTAAGTGCAAAAGTCGAACTGCTATTCACATGTGTAGACATGTGGTGCGCTTACAGTAAAAGCAGTCGCCTACCCACCATGATTATCATGGCTTTGAGATAAGAAAGAAGAAGAAGAACTATTCCAAAATAGTCTCCAAATCCTTTTTGATCATATTATTACCTTGTTTCTAAATAAATTGTGAAGAAAAATGTGAGCTTTCAAGTAAAAGATCTTTTTTTCTTGCTTATCAAAGTTATGAGAGGAAACAAATTATAAAAATCAAATAATGCTCTCTGATAGAAAGCTCACTTTTTTTGCAATAAATTTTTTTTGTTTACTTTTTATTAATACATAAATATTTATTAGTTCCTCAAGGATCAATAAGTAATTATTAAAACTTTAAAGAGATAGCTACAAGTGATAAGGCACAATTTGGATTATAGATTATAAACACAAGATAATAAGACCAAATAAATAAATAGTGTGTGACGTTTCCACAACAGCATCTTTACTATCTTCAGACAAAAGTACTGAGTGCTGTTGCCAAAATGTCACACACTATTTATTAATTATTTTTTCTATTATTTTTTTTTTCACACACACTATTTATTTGGATTTGGTCTTATTACCTTGTGTTTAGATAGCTACTGTAACGGCAGCTGGCATGCCTATATAGTAAATTATCAGTGAGCACATTATTATCACTGATGATACTCTGTGCAGTTGCCTTTTGACTTATTGAAATATATATCCACATGTAAACTTATGTCTGATGTTAGCCAAAAAGAAAAAGATACTTTTCTTTTTTTAACTTCCAAATACTTCTTGCTGATTAACGTCAACCAACAAACATGAGGACGTTACAACTACAAGGAAATAAGACCTAATCCAAATAAATTAATAGTGTATGACTTTTGGGTAACAGCGTTGTTACCACCATCAGACAAGAAAAAAAACCTTTTATTCTTTTGACTGATGATAACAACGCTGTTACCAAAATGCCACACACTATTAATTTATTTGGATTAGGTCTTATTTCCTTGTAGCTATAATCCAAATTGTGATTTATCCCTTTAAAGAGATGAGTTGTTGTTTCTTATCCCCTTGTGTAAAGATTACATGAATTCCAGGAGTCCATGCTCCTCAAGCTGTTTTATGATAAGCAGCAGCCTCTCCCAAAGGTCAGTTTTAGTGCATCTAATGCAAGCCAAAATGTGTTCTGGAGCTGCAGGTGCCAAGCTACATGTTGGACAAGTGGGGTAGATTTTGTTATTATGATGTTATAGAGAGATGAGTGTCACCAGATAATCAGACCAAATAAATCATTTTAATTTATAATTGAGTTCTTGTGTGTTTCTAATCTATAATCTAAATTATACTTAATCAGAGGTGAGTGTCTAATTAGTATTATATAAATTAATGAAATGTTTTGTGATTTAAAGTTTTTAACGATACTTTTTGATCCTTTAATGACATGATCTTGGGAAATATGTGATCATACTTTAATGTTTATTTGTTGTGTTGTTGATGTTTGTTTCTAGCTGTAATTTTTTATGTACCATTATTGTTTTCTCTAGTTTATAATGGTAATGACTCTAAACAATTAATTTTCCCCCTTTTTTATATATAATAAAAAAAAAAAAACACCAGAAAATATCTAGAAATATCAATAAAGACTCGTGAAACCATAACCACAATTTTACATCAGTATTAATTGTTTAAACAAAATATATAATAGTGAATTTTTCCTCCAATATTGAAGTTTAATTTATACAATTTTTCTAATAGTAAATGGATAGTATTAATGGTTATAAAGATATAAACGAGTTTTTTTTATTTAGGAAATAAAATCTGTTTTAGGAAAGATAGGGCAATAGGGGTAAAAACTTGCTTGAAAAAAGTTTAAAAATTAATCATTTATTCATTATATTATTCAATTTAAAAAATGAAATAAATATTTTGGACAAAAGTTTCCTGTTTTTCAAATCCAACTGGACACTGGCTTCTGTAACATGCAAGAGATACAAAAACCTAGGAAACTCCACTCCATTGGCCCAGTATCCCATGTACATGCTGCAGTAGCACAGCACTGACCAGGAAGGGTGTATGAGGGATAATAGCAAGCCTTGTGTGAAGATGATTGACATCCATGAAAAGCAGGAGAGTGTTACCAATGAACTGAATAAAGAGAAAGGTCTTTAGGCATAGTCTATAAAGACTCCTCTGGCCTTCTTACTCACTACCACTTCAACCACCATATTGCCCGATACATCCTGACGCAAGAGTCCCACAGTAATGGAGGGAGACTTGTGTGATGTGACTTCAAGACCTGCTTGGCTAGACAGCCTTGAGAATGTGACCAGGAAGTAGATGAAACTAGAAGTTACTACAAGAATCATCCAAGTCATCACAAGAAAAACTGCTGGAGTGGACATTGGTAAAGTTGAGGTGAACATAACAAGAAGTTATCTCCAAGAGCTGGACAGTAAAACCTACCAGGCTGGGCTTTAAGGCCAATCAGGAGAAGCTTGCTATATGATATAGAAATGATCATCCAAGACTTCAGGCATGCAATTTCTTTTGTCATTTTGAGAATCATATATATTTTTCCTTAATAAATAAATACATTAAAAATTAAAAAAAGACATATCCTGATCAGGAGCACCTGTGCTTTTCAGATGGCAGAATAGTTGGGGAGTGTGACCAATGAACTGATTAAAGAGAAAGAAATAGTCTATAAAGACTCCTCTGGCCTTCCTAACACCATATCGCCTGCTACACCTGTTGGGGCACGTTTTTGTAACCATACCCCAACAGAAGGCGTATGTATAATCAAATCAAATGGATACATGGCTTCCCTCCCACATAGACTTACAGACCATTTTTTTGCCCAGAAACTTAGACACTTGGTGACACCAGACTTCCATGCCGAAAGCTGATGCCTGGTAAAGAAGAAGACATCCAGAGACATCCGAGCTGGAAACTGTTGTTTCATATGTACATATATTCCCCTCACCAAAAATTTAGGTAAAGGTGACCAGAAAAAAAAAAAAAGAGAAAAATGGAGAAGGAAGATCTCTAAAGACTGAACCTTATAAAATATCCTTCCCGAGAAAGGAAAGCATCACATTACAGTCCAGGTAAAAAGGGCCTGGGTCGATTTTAGCCAAGACGGGGGGGGGCGATATATATACCGTCCCGAGAAAAAGGGAGGATTGTATTTCAATCCATGTGGAAAGGGGGGGGGGGGCTGGAGTCTGAAATCTTACACTAGTGCCGTGGCTGTTTCTCTCTTTAGATTTTTTTTTTTGTTTTGGTAATACTATATGTTCTATTTTGATGGGAGAGGCCTGGGGCGTCTATGAAATTGATACTGGAGCCGTTGGCCATTTTGATTGGTGTTTCTTTCGGCGAATGAAAATGGAGAGAGACATGAATAAAAGAAGGAGCTTTGCCAAAAGGCAAGATTGGATCTGAGTCGCTCAGTGAAAGGACAGTCTTCAGACGGGAGACCAGACCTTTGCCGGCACTTTCGAGAAAAGGTAAGCCGTTTGTCATTATGACTTAGCGCCTTCCCCCCCCCCTTTTGTGTAGTAGCCAACCTAGATTTTGCATGGGCCCTAAAGGGCTATAAAGTAACTTCAGGTCACCTCTATCTAAATTTTACTATGTAAATAGCATATCTCGTCAGTATAGACATGTTCCCAAATTTTAAGATATTTAAATAAATATCTAGAGAAAATTTCTTGTTTCCTCTGTTACCTATTTCATACATAATTTGCCTTATGGTGCTACTCCCACTGTTTAAATGAAATGTTGTATGTTTCTTACCTATTTGAAGGGAATGTTACTAATAATCAAGTCTCCCATAAATTACCGGCCACATACATTGTCGCGAGTGTCTGTGTTTCAGTGTTTTATAGATTGCCCAATTTAATAACGATTTCATGGGTTGCCTGATGAAATTGTATACTAGTGTCGCGGCTGTTTCCATCTTTAGACCATTGTTCTGACAATATTATATGCTCGATCCTTGCTTTAGCTCAACTCTTAATCAATTACAGAGTTTTTTCCCCTTTTTTTTATTTTATTTATCCTGTTTGCACAAATTGCATTACATGTGATGATGTAAAGACATATGCCGATAGTGCATCATTGACAGCTGTGCTGCTATTATACAACATTAAGGTCTTGCTGCGGGTTATATACATGGGGTTGTTGGCCTAAATTGCTATATATATATATACTTAAGTAAGGAAACTTTAATAAGTCACATCGTGTATCCTCCCTTTTCAACTATCCAAAACCGGGATCCCAACACACCCTTACACCAAGAGTCCCACAGTGATGGAGGCAGACTTTTGTGGACTTCAAAACCTGCCTGACTCGACATCCTGGAGAATATGACCAGGGAGTAGATTAAACTAGACTTCACCACAATAACCTTTCAAGTCACCACAAGTAAAGCTGCTGGAGTGGACATTGTGTAATGTTGAAGTAACAAGAAGTGATCTCCAAGAGCTGGCCAGCAAAACCACCAGGCTGGGCTTTAAGGCCAATCAGGGGATGCAGGCCATACGAAATAGAAATAACCATCCAAGACATCAGGCATGCAATTCTTTTGATCGTTTTGAGAATAATATATATTTTTTCCTCCTTAATATAAATAAACTAGCCGAATGACCCGGCACCGCCCGTGTTTTACCCAACTGTAGATGTTACAACGGTGATCCTTAGGTCGCTGGTTCAAATCCGGCTCGAGGGAGCCGGCGAGCACGTGACCTCCCTGTGCGCGCGCATCCGTGACAGAGGCCGATGAGGAAAGACGGTCGTGACTATATATATTATAATATAATATATGTATGAGTACATTTTGTGTAGAAATAGGATTAGTTGACTTTATAAGGTAAACTTATTCATACAGTTTGTATCCCTCGATAGCTCAGTTGGCAGAGCGGAGGACTGTAGATGTTACAACGGTGATCCTTAGGTCGCTGGTTCTGGTTCAAATTTCAAATCCGGCTCGAGGGAGTTTTTTATTTTTATTGGCTGCCGGCGAGCATGTGACCTCCCTGTGCGCGCGCATCCGTGACAGAGGCCGATGAGGAAAGACGGTCGTGACTATATATATTGTGACATATATATATGTTGAATAAATTTTAGTTTGCAATTTCTAGTGTACCAAATGCGCAACCATGATACGATATACTAGGTAAGAATTGTGATTAGTTCAAATCTTCATGCCATTTAAACCGACTTAAGAATAGTTATAAACAGGCAAGATTTTTGCATACTTTCATTATATTTCCTGACTTACAAAGCACACCATTCATTAAATAGGATTCACCCATTTTTCATTTAAATCATTAACCATTTCTGAATACCTTACTGAAATGATAGGTCTTATGGAAAGAATTTGTCTCAGCAGTCGTTCCCTCTCTCGGCTGCTACAACAAATTAATTTCCCGCCGCTATATTCTTGTTCATTTTCAGTTAAACTGTATTTAAGCTTCTGGAACTAAAGAAGTGCATATTGTTACATCATGATTAATGGCGTATTTATTATATTATTTTTAATATATTTGAAATTTAAATTATATATTTATTTATTTTTATATTCTATGATATTTATTTAAAACAGATTATTTTTAGATTATCATCATTTGTATTTAGGTACACTGTGACTTTACTGCTCTCTTTGATGTGAGAAAATAAATAAATTATTCTGGTGGCTACTTAAAGAAGACTTATCTCGTTATTCCCTTTTATAAATTTGTAGGATGGTTGAAACACGCTCTGGTAAGATGCAAGACCCAGCACAGGAGAGAATCCAGGCTGAAGAGTCTGCCAAGCCGCAACCTGGTGTAACAATTGGTGGAGATGCTAGTTCCGACCCAGTTGTCCTGAATCCCAACATCGACATCCCCAAGTATGATGGAACGGAAGACCCTCGCCCATGGATTGAATCTCTTGAAGAAATTGGCTTCTTGTACCATTGGGCAGACTACATTATCTCTCGTTATGCCGCCATGAACATGACGGGAAGCGCTAAAACCTGGTTGAATTTACACAAAGCTAGTTTCACGAGCTGGGAAAATATTAAAATCCGCCTCATTCAGGATTTTTCTTTGGACGCGAATAAAGAAGAACTTAGAATGAAGCTCAACAGAATGCAACACTGGAATGAACCAGCAATCAGGTTCGCGGAAGACATTCTAGTGTTGTGCAACAAGGTTGACCCCGCAATGGAAGAAGAAACAAAAATTGAACATGTTATTGGAGGACTGAAAAAAGAGTACTCATTCGCGCTCTACCTGAACCCTCCTAAAACGACCGATGACCTTCTTGTCGTGTGCAAGAAAATGGATTATTTTGAAAAGAAGTATCGGGAACGTGTGGAGAAATCCAGAAACCTATATAACGGTCCACGCTATTCTAGACCCCAACAACAATCGAGGTACGTGCCGCCGACTGCCGCACGAAACTACCAGACCACTTCCAGGCCCCAAGCCCCTGTTTCCAATAATTACAAGAACGACTCCCATCCTACCCCCAGACAGTATCGAAACAACTTTCCCCAGCCCTCTACCCCTAGACGTCCTTATAATCCTAACTTTGTGCCTAAACCAAACCTTCAGAGAAACACTTACAATAAAAGCCAAGAAGTAAGCAAAAATAGGACGGAA